CATATGTCATCATCTAATCAATATTATATATATATCGCAATCTCGCGAGTTATAATTTTGCTTTTGTGTCAAGCTCATATAAAAAAAATCATTGCGGTAAATAATTTTGATTTTGAAAGCGATAAGTCCTACAATTTGACTAATATATTTAGATTCGAAATTATGGCCCGACAAATATTTAAAATTTATTTTATTATAAATCGTCAAATTTATTTTATTATAAATCGTCAATTTATTATATTTATTATATTTATTTCATACTAAATTGTCTCATACACGTTATTATATTAGTAAAATGACACTTGCAATATCGTACTCTCTCTTTTTTAACTATTCTTTTGTCCGATAAAATCAATAAAATATTCTTTTTCTTTTTTTAATTTTAGATGATTTGAAATAAAAAGAATGTATTTGTAATATGATAATTTAGAGATATTATCTTTTTTGGTAGACATTTTTTTCTCTTTTATTTGTTTCCATAATTTTTGCTTAGAATATAAATTTTTTTTTTCATTTTTTTTTCCAGATTTTTGTTAATATTGAGACGTGTCATCATCTGATTAATAGTAGATACATATCACGATCAGGTGAATAAGAATTTTGCTTACGTGTCACGTTCTCATCGTGCGCATCTTCTTTTATATAATAACATATAATATATTTAACACATGGGGGATTTAGTATATTAATCCTATTACATATTAGACGGAAACTTCAAACTCTTTGAGTTACCTACCGATTCATTCAAATTACATTTTAGTATTGCTCGTTAAGCACGAGAAATACTATATGCTTTGAAATCTGAAAGCAAATAAAGTCCCCGTCTATTATTGAAGACGGAGTATAAAATATTCACCCTTATTAGAAGCCGATGCAACCATATTTCATGTGAGCCAAACATTTAACGGTCTTAAATAAGGGGAGATTATTAAATAATCATATTACAATAGAAATAAGCTTCATTTTTTTGGAGTTACACGACAACTTATTCAAAATCACATTTTAATAGACGTTCCACGTTAGACACGCGCTATATTATATGTTCTAAATTCGGAAAAGGTAAAGTAATACATAGATATAGATAATGCGATGAATCATCCTATATATACAAATAATTAACCAAATAAACTATAACACACCGAGATACATCATGCAGTAAATCATCCTATATATAATACATACCCACTTATCGATTAAGATTTTATATAAAACAAGATCTGGATCTATAAAAATACAAAATTAAAAAATGATTAACGAGCCCTTGTTGGCATATTAAAATAAATTCAGAGATCAACCAGTGAGTCAAAATCGCTATATAAAGAGCTCCACTTAGATGTAATACAACCATCCTATACTTCTTCTCTTGAAGAAAACAAAAATACTTAAAACAAAGATGGCTCTGAAAACTGTTCTTTTCTTGGGGCTGATTTTGGTCCTAACCTTCGTATGCTCTCCGGCGACAGCTGACGGACCTATTTGCCCTGTGACGACGAAACTTAGTCGGGCAAGTTTTCCTGAAGGTTTTCTATTTGGCACAGCTACTGCGGCATTTCAGGTATAATATAAGTTTTCATAAACATTTCTTGCACATATAAGAAAGTTTTCCCTATTATTTTACACCTAAATAATATGTTATCAATTACAACAGTAAATATATAGGTCACCTTTAAAATCATGTTTATCCTTTTCAAAACCGACTTTTACAAAAAAAAATTTGAACAGAACACTGTATCATACACCATAATACTATATGTAAATAGTGGTGTTTGGTATACCAGCCTTTTTTACATAGCCTTCCACTGAAAATATATAAAATGCGAAAACTATAGTACAAAATAGAACACTATCCATAAAATGAAAATATATTAGTCCATTTTTTTGTATTCTTTACTTCTAATCGAATAAAATTTGTATCATGCTTGTTTACATAGTATTACTCTCTTCTTTAAATGTGACAAAGAAAACTAGCCCATACTTTTATATATTAATTGCTAAGTCCATCAACTCTTTTCGTGTCCTTAAAATATTAGGTTGAAGGTGCAGTGAATGAAACTTGTCGTGGACCGAGCTTATGGGATCTCTACTGTAAAAGATACCCAAGTGAGTGCCTCTAGATTTGCGTTTCTTATCTCTTCGGCTACA